GGTGGTTTCAATGATTGTTCTTGCTGTTTTTGCGAACAATCATTGAAACCACCACCGAAAAGAGGATCGAGATTGAACAACACATTTGGAGTCAATTTAACTGATGATAACATACTGGAAGCAGTTACATAGAAAGAAGCAGCAAAGAAGAAATCTGAAGGACCGAGACGAACAGCGAGAACAACAAAAAACAAAAAACATCAAATTGCAAGCAGTTCTGTTGCGTGTATACGATTAAATTTTCCAGTAGGGAGGTTCTTCTTCTTGTTTTCTTATACTTTTCTTGCTTGAGTCGACTGAGTGAAACGATAAGGAGACTTATTCTGTTTAACTTCGAGCGTTGCCTAGCAATATTTTTTCTTTCTTTCTACACTGTATTTTCGTGTTCGACTCAGATACTTGTTCTCGATTACTCCTGATCGTACAGATTTCGGCAAAAGATGATTCGAAAGTAGAGAAGTAGAAGATGACACGTCTGGAGCCATTTTTCGGATATTTGCTTTAGTTATCGTATAATTAGTATCACAAAATGAGTATATTTTTGAGACAACTATATCGTTTCTTCTATGAGAAAATTAATTGTCACGTGATTCATTTCAAACTGAATATATGCTACAGTGCTGGATATGACGAAAGTTATACTATAGTAGAATATGTGTCATGATAATGAGTCAGCTGGTATAGGAATATAGGAATTCTTCTGGAAAAATGGTCAAACTGTTATGAGCTCGTGGATGATCTAATTTCGTCTGCTTACCATTTCATTCACTTGACTTTCCAATCTTCCCACAGGGCAGTTGGTCTCTAGTTCTGTATAGTCTGTATGCATTTACAGTCTAAAACATTATACCGGTAGAATGCATCAAAATGTTTACTACTAGAACACTGCAGTGTTCTAACTGTATCTAAGGGATTCGAACGGTGTCTAACGTTGTATTCTATTCAAACTCTTTCTTTCCTCTGTTTCTTCAGTGTTATATCTTAATAAGCTGTGCTTTTTCTGTAACTACCACCTTATGCAAAAATAAATTCATCCATTCATGCACGGTGCGCGACGCCAGAGTAGGAGTGTGATAAGGGTGCATAATGTTTCGCATACCACAAGAGTAGAACTTTTGTTGATTTGACTACTGATGAGTGAGCGTGGTGGTTGTGAGGAAGTGTTAATGGTAAGTGCGAGTGTGTCGGTGCCGTTGCGTTCTGTTGTCTAATAATATAGAACGTGAGATGACTTCTCCATTTTAATGCGTCGGAACGTGCTGTATTGTCTTTTTGAACGCTTGCATACGCGTGCTGATGTTATGTTCAATGTTTCGCCTTGAAATTAGAGTAGATTGTCACTGTCCAGCCATAGGATGGGGAATTCTTCTTCTTAACGACTCCAACATTCTCATCACTTTCACTGCTCATGACGAACCTAAACTTTCCGAGATAAAATATATTTTGATTAGGTTCTTAGGTTCTTGCTTCTTGAAAACGAATATAAAAGTCTTAGGCCCGTACTACGTCTCTGGATCCGTACGAACATGCAGATATAAGAACCTATTCTCCTAGTATATTTTATATCAAGGTTCTTAGGTTCGTGGGTTCTTGCTTGTTGAAAACGAATCTAGAAATTCTAGGTTCGTACTACATCTCTGGGTTCATATGAAGATTCAGATACAAGAACATAGTATATACCTAGTGTACCTTCTCCTAGTATATTTGAGAGATGAATCTGGGGTGGGTGGGTTGGGGGATAAGAGCCGGGTGCTGGCAGTGAGTTTTATACGCTGTATCTCACAACCTTACCACGAACCTGGAATTTCTACATTCGTTCTCAAAAGCACGACCCTATGAACCCAGATATAAAATATACTTGGAGAATAGGTTCTTGTATCTGAATGTTGGTACGAACCTAGAGTTGACATAAGCTTTATTTGATAAGGATAATGTGGTGTACAAAAGAAAAGAATGAAACAGAACAGAAGAAGAAGAAAGAGACCAACGTAGGATTTCTATATTCGTTTTCGACGTGCAAGAGCCCGAGATCCGAAGAACGTTGATATAAAATGTCCTAGTAGAGTAGGAAGTTCTTGTATCTGAATGTTCGTGCGAAGCTAAATGGTAGTAGTAACCTGAAATATCACTGCAAACATAAAATTTTTAGGTTCGTTTTCGAGATGGAAGAACCGAAGAACCCAGATATAAATTATAGTGGAGGAATAGGTTCTTGTATCTAAATATTCGTGCGAACCTAAAACTTCAGATTCGTTTTCAACATGGGAAGAGTCCAGGATTCTAAAGCTTTCTGGAAATTTTGTTTCATTTTTTTAGATTCGTTACGAATATGAATTCCTCACTTCATGTTTCCAGCAAAAACGGCATGTGATAAAACTATAAACAGATAGTTCATATTTTCATATAGATATATTGTGGAAGGAATCCGCTCATAAGTAATGATACGGATTACTTGATATTGGTATTATGAAACAAATTTTAATCACATTTATCGTAGTGGCATTGAAATGGAAAAAGTGCGACTATCTGGGAAAAAGTTATTTCGTATATGGTAGTAAGGGAGTGAGAAGAAAAAATTCAGATATTCATTTTGACTGGCTGTGAACAGTAATTGTTTTCAGTACAGTTTGTAATCCATTGACGGTAATCTTGAAATGTTATATCTAAAAACTTTTGTGGAAAATTATTAGCGTGACAATCAGCATTCTTCGGAATTTGGATGGCAATACCAACAACATACCACATATTGTTCATTTGATAATATAGACCACCACCGCTGTCACCCTTGCAAACCCTAGAATAATATGATGCGCAAAGTTTTACAATAAGTGAGACTGAAACATAAAACGTACCCTCGGAGCATTGTCGTCGATTGCATGCAAAGCTCAAAAGCAGCGTGATAGTTGCCGTAAAAGTTATTTTGACAAATACTATCATCAACTATTTTCATTTCATCTTCGTGTAAAATATCTGTATTACTAGTCGGTTTACCTTGTCCCCATCCAGCTGTCCACATTTTACCTCCAGCTGAAAAGGATATTACACTATCAGGTATTTTTATCACTGCTGCACCATCGATACCAGAAACTGCTTTTTTTAATTTAATTAGAGCCATATCATGCATATTACCATCGTAAAATCCAAATACTTCAATATTATCTACTTCAATCTTTGTGCCTGATGCAAAACGCACTGATCCAGCATATACAGAATACGTTGATGGAAGACCTGTTTCTACGCAATGGGCAGCTGTCAAAACATAAAAATTTCCGATAATTATTCCGCTACAGCGGCTACCGTTGTCATCGTTTTGTCTTATTGACACCATCCATGGATATTTGGTTATTGATATTACTAGTTCGCCATACACACGTTCACCATTATCATACTCTTGAATGGTTAATGGCACAATTAAAAGTAAGATTAATAAGTAACCTAGCATATTTATACTTTCTCTTAGCACTAATAACAGAAATGCATCAATGCTTGGTGGTTTACGGATTCAATGAATGGGAACGGTGCGTTAGCAACTGTTTACTTTTATATTTACTTTTGTTCTCTACACCAAAGAATCCAGTTTTCTACATAATATCTTTTGTTTCTTCGGTTCTTTTAAGTTATCGCAGCTGTTTGCTTTCCTGCATTGTGTAAGAGATGGTCTATTTTCTGATGCCAATATCGTATTTGACATTTTATTGAGTGCCAGACGATAGGCATAGGCGGCATACGCATACATTTAACACCAAATCTTTTCTTTTCTATGCGTAATACTATCAGCTATAAGGAGAGATAGTTTATGAGAAATGCAACATTTGTTCTTCGAGATAGCAAAACAGAGTGCTTTACACATTTGGCCTTTTCCATCTAGCGTATTGTACACTAAGGAATGAAAGAATAAAATTTTGCGGTGCATTATTGGAAAAAAGCGACATCACTTTCGATGATATATACAAAAGAATTTTTATTCTTAAAATAGAAAACTTAAGTATAGCTGAAAAAACGCTCTGCAATAGCACAGAATCGTGCTACTGTTAAAAATCCTTGATAGTCTTCATCAATTAGATCTTTGTACGCTAGTTATGTGTTTATGCGACAAATTATAGGACAGAAGCGTTTAATATGCATGTTTGAATTGGTGGAATTAGCAAGTTTGAACTAAATACGTGAAGACTGTATGCTTATGCTTATTTATTACATCTTACGAAGTTATGAATCTTTTTTTGTTTCCATGTTCCAGATTCTACAGCTACACTAAAAATATCATAACTCCTCAAATTTAGGGAATTAAGAGTTGAAACTTTTTTAATTCTAGACCGTTTTAAAACGTGAAACAAATATGTTTTTCATTTAACGATCATTCTTATTCTAAAAATCAATATAGTGAAGTGCCATTAATCAAATGTAGTTAGTGTCAAAAAATATTATATTTTAATCATTTCTTTGTAGAATATCATATGCATTAGTTTTATTATTTCATTTTGTTATCGTTATGGTTGTTATTAATTCAGCAAACATTTATTTTATAATTTATTTTATTCAAGCTTCGTTTACTTATCAAAATGTTGACACTGTTCTGGGTTCTCAATACTGCACAATGTACTGAAAAAACAAAACAAGATAAAAGAAAATTTTCCATGGTAGGGAGCAGAGGTGGGATCGGTTCGGTTTGAAACTTTTCGGTCCGGTTCGAGAAATTTCTTACTCGCTGAGAGGCTCGGTTCAATTTCAGGTACTTTTTTGTTTAGAGACTGAAAGAGAACACCTAAAAAAGTGCTACTGCACGAAAGATAGATGTCATTCTTAATTTAGTCAGTTTAACACTCGTCTGATCGAACTCTCGTATATACAAATGACAAACCGTTTGACTCTTTCTTTATACATTCATCATCCATACTTGTTTGCAACAATGAACGATACTATTCCTTCCCTGTCGTATTCAAACTATGTTTCTTCTTCTGTCCCTGTATAGTCAACGAGTTCTCCTTTTCCTGTGTTATCTGCTTCATCGGATGAGAGATACATAACATAAACGATTACGCTTTGTCTCAAATACAAGAATAAGGAATCATCACTATCATCGATAAAAATTCCAATGCAGCATGCTGGACAGTTTTTGGTCTATCTGCTAAAATAGTGGGTCCAGAAAGATATCAAATTATAAACGACAGAGCGTCTTGAACTAGGTGAGGCTCATAGTATTTTCTTCTCCTCTCCCATCGAACTTTTACCGAAGCGTCAAGCAGAATACGGTGCGTGGAATGCAAACTTGCAGTACACATTTTTTTCCAACGTTTTATACAGCGTTAGATAGAGCTCATCGAGCTGATTAGTGAAATGTATATTTCAAAAATATTTTCAAAATTTTTCTATGTCAAAAAATTGAAACTGCTTGAAGGATGTAAAAACTCGAAAAATCCTTCAAGTTCAAAACGCTCTAGAAGGCTGGTTTCGAACACCCATGCTGGACAGGCTTTTAACTTCAAAATTGATCACACACCATTTTTATATTCAGTTTTTAACGCTGAATTCGAAAAAACTTGCTTGAAGACTTCAAACCGATCTGGAGCCGAGGTATTAAAGTTTTTTTTGAGCTTGAAGGATTTTTCAAGTTTTTATATCCTTCAAGTATTATCAATTTTTTTAGCTAGGCTCAGAACTATTTGTCAAGTCTGAAATTAAGTGAGACGGAGCCTCAATTGGCGGAAATCAAGTGAGGCACGAGCATCAGTGGGTCCACCGCCTATGTATCAAATTATTCGAAAAAATTTTCGGTTCGGTTCGGTTTGAAACTTTTCGGTTCGATTCGGTTCGGTTTCCAAAAAACACGAACCGATCCCACCTCTGGTAGGGAGGCCCTCTGTATGGCGAAAGGGCGTTAACGGTCTCTCTGCTGACTCACAAGAGAGACCGGCCAACTTTTCTACAAGGCTTCATTCTATCTTATTTCTCGATACTCTGTGGAAAACCAACTCATTTTGGAAAACATGATTTTCCTTAAAAAAGGTCAAATTCTATAACTTTTGGCCTAGGAAAAGTTAGAAAGCTAAAACTTTCTATGATATTGGTTGACTGTAGCAGTATCACAGAAAAATTTCAGCCCTAAAGAAGAGGGTTCGATTTTTCGTGATTTTGGCCCACTGTTTTTTCGACTTAATTTTGATCAGATTTTGCAGGTAAAACAATTTTACACATTTTGAAGTGCATATGTACCATTATAACCTTATGGAGATTTTTTTTAAATTAACTTTTCTGAAGAGGTACATACAACATATCAGTGCTAAACAAAAACGATTCTGTTCAAAATCTAAGATGACGCTGATAATATTAAACTTAACGAAGCCTGACAGCAGATTTTATGAGTTTAATACTAGACTTTTCCATAGGTCGTGGCTATGCCAGGGGAACTCTTGATCACTTTTCTCTATGAAACTAAAGAGGATCTCTAATTATTCATGCATCATTCGATGCGCCTTGAAAAGCTCTACAACATGTGTTAATAGGAAACTTACCGAAGCTTGGTAGCGGTTTTTCTGTATTAAATACTTCGCCGCTTAGAAAAATGATCAAGAGTTTTTCGAGAGCGAGTTGCCTTCTCTCTTATTTATGGGCTAAAATGGTGAAAATGATCGCTGAAGGATGATCACCCGATAGAAGATGTTAGAAAATAAACTATTTCTTCTTAAATACACAGTGTGTGTGACTAGGGTCTATGTAATAGTTTGTTCAGTTTTTCATTGGCTATTTTTCTATATCAAGCCTTACCGTAACTTCATACTGATATAATAATTGATGCAGCTATGTGTAATTTCATTGTTTATTTAAACAGGCAATGAACAACTTCTTTATTTCTTTTTGTGATATTTCGCTCTATTTATGCGAGCATTGTCCAAAGTTGTTCATTGCTTATTTAAATAAACAATGAAATTAGACGAAGCTACATCAATCATTATATTGATTCAGAAATGATTGCTCTTAAATACTATTAACTTCATATTAGATTTTGAACAGAATCGTTTTGGTTTAGCACCGATATGCTGTATGTACCTCTTCAGAAAAGTTAAAAGTCTCCATAAGGTTATAATGATACATATGCACTTCAAAATGTGTAAAATCGTTTTACCTACAAAATCTGATCGAAATTAAGTCGAAAAAACAGTGAACCAAAATCAAGGAAAATCGGGACCCCTTCTTTAGGGCTGAAAATACACCGCAAAATTTTATTCTTTCATTCCTTAGTGTACAATACGCACGATCGATGGCCAAATGTGTAAAGCACTCTCTTTTACTATCCCGAAGAACAAATGTTTCATTTCTCATAAACTAGCTCTCCTTAATCAAGTTAGATATTGGTAGTGCCTGCACAAAATATATTTTGTGCGAAGAGAGATATCTTATTTGTTATGCTCTTGTTACGTTAGAATAACTGCATCTATTCATCTTTTAACTTCTCTAAATTCTTAATCTTCGATACCATCTGATAATCAGGAGTCTATAATAAATTGTTGCACAGTCAATACGCAATTAGATGACGTTGAATTCACCTTTTACTAATATCGTTAAAGAAACAAAAAAAGTAATATTGATTTTAACGATGAATAATGTCCAAATATTGAAAAAGTTATTTGAGTATTTATCAACGTCAAGTATCTTTCAAATTTTCTTTTTTTGCGTTTTTTATATTACTTATAAATCATATTTTACGATAAAATAAGGACACTTAATAGATGTTAGATAAGAATTTATATGGCGAGTGTGAATTTTTATGAACACAAAAATATTAGATAAAAAAAAAAAGGCTACATCCGTTTGCTAATACAATTATTAGTCAAAACTAAAATTATGAACGATTAATAAAAGAATAGTCAGTTGTGTTTTGTTGATGATAGAAGAAAAAACGTAGATTAGACTGTCAAATTACATTTATTCTTTTCTTCAAACATATCACATGGCATTCATATACATTGGAAGTTCATTTTTGATGATACTCTTAACTGTAAAATCTGATAATTGTACAATTCGAGATCATTGTTTAAATGGTATAGAAATATTCAATTCAAACATAATTTCTCAACGTAATTGCTTTTGTGATGAAATATGTTCAATATATGGTGATTGCTGCGAAGATTTAAAGGCAACGTTTTACGGTAATAATAAGATAAAAGAACTTGAAATTGATCATGAATGTGTGGATTATAATTATCCAATTCGTCGTAAACAACGTCGATTTTATGAAATGACAATGCATCCCGTTTGGATGATTACCGGTTGTCAAAAAAAATATTATGGTACAAAATTAGATAAACAATGTCAAAGTTATAAGAAAGATCATTTTAATGAACAACCAGACGCTTATATACCATGGACAAGTAATCGTACAAATTTAACCTATCGAAATATATATTGTGCTTTATGCAATAATCAAAATAATTTTTTACAATCATGGATTTATAAACCAGAATGTGATTCATCTTTGACATTTCCAACAATAATTAATAATATTACAGAAATATATCAATTTTTAAATTGTAATAATCATTATCTAACTTATCCATCAGTATTTATAAGATTTTGTAAGAAGATTATTTTAAATCAATCATGTTCAGATATACGTTGTCAGTCAATCAATGCTTATCGATATATTTCATATAAATATGGTCCATCAGCTATTGTTCAAAAAATTTTTCGAAATAAATATTGTTTACAATGTTATGATAAGAATATATCCTTATCAGAGTCATGTTTTGATCAAATCAATTTACAATTAAATCGTTCGTCTGGTGAACAAATAACTGGTACTCAATTACTACAATTATCTATTTTATTTAATCCAGAGATATTGAAAATTCGTCTAACTGATACTTCAAATAAGACAGTAAAATCTAATACGAATCAATATTTCATAAATTATCCATGTAATCCAAATCTTTATCAATTATATGATTTAGTTTTAAAAGAGTGTATCTCAATCAGTAGCAATAATGATAGACAATTATTAAAAGCAATCAAATGTCTACAGCCTGTTCGAATTCATAAACGTTATTTAAAAGAATTGAACAATGGCAGCATGACAATAAAGAGTTATTCCATTATATTGAATTCAAATGATTTTATTTATCAATCAGATGGAAATGAGATCATTTTCTGTGGTGAAGAGTATCCTCAAATATTATATTTTTACAATAATATAATACGATCAATTGTTTCCTATATTTGTACAATCGTTTCATTATCATGTTTATTACTATTTATGGTATGCTATTGTACAATTCCAGTACTCCATAATTTACCTGGTCAGTAATACATTGAATATGATGTTTACTTTTTCAATGTTTTGCATATTTTTTAGGAAAATGTCTATTAATGTTGTCTATCTCCTTATTTATGGCTCAACTTGTCTTTAGTATGTCGAGTTATTTATCAGATTATAAAAGTTTGTGTATTGCATCTGGTATTGCGACTCATTTCTTTTATTTAATTACATTTGGATGGATAACAGTCATCTCATTCGATACGTATCTAACATTAACTAAAATGTCTCGAATCAATATTGAATTAAGTCACAGACGTTTTATCTATTATAATCTCTTTTCATGGTTAACAGGTTTTATCATTGTAATCGTAGCAGTGATATTCGATTTTTTGATATACTCAAATTTATTTTCACCTCAATATGGTAAACTATTCTGTACAATTTCTCAGCGTAATTCAATGATTATATTTTTTCTTGTGCCCATTGGATGCATGTTAGTAGCTAACATGTTCTTTTTTGGTCAAACTGTGTATTCTATTCATCATGTCGATCGATCAACAAAAATTGTACGACAGAATATGACAAGATCACGTACTTCGTCATACATTCGTCTGGCATTTCTAATGGGTCTTACTTGGTTATTACTCTTAGTATGTTTATTAGTCAAACAGTCGTGGTTATGGATGATGTTTGATGTGGTTAACACACTGCCTGGTTTATACATTTGTATTGCTTTTCTGCATAATCAGCGTATATTAAGCAGTATCAAACAAAAATTATTCGGTAGTCTAAGCACAACATTGTCAACAAAAAATTCGACCAATGTCGAAACACTACTCAAATCACCAACCTCAATGTCCACGTCGTCAAAATCTGCCGAGCATGATGTGACTGCAACCCAAAGTTTAATTACTTCAGCGACAAAAGTTGAAAAAAAATCAGACACGAGGGCACAATGAATATACCAATAACGATTAAGTCGTCGAATTAGTTTTTTATCCATCTAAATTTTCCTTA